GAGAATGCTGTCCCCCTCTGGAGATCCCTGATGGGACCCACCAAAGTGTTCCGAGCCCGAAACAGCGTCCCCGACTCCATCCGAGGGGCGTACGGCCTCACTGACACCAGGAACACCACTCACGGTTCAGGTAACCTGTCCTTGGCTGAGCGGGGGGCAGAGCCTGGAGCTCAGAGGGGTCTGGGGGGATCGTGTCTGCTTTCGCCATCTGCGCTCCCTGCTGCAGGCCCCTCGCCCCATCCTGGTGCAGCCCAGCCTGGCGCTTTTCCTTGCGGGGTCTGCCCTCCCCTTTGGAATGTAGCTTTTCTCACCTTCTTCCCCTCTGTTGTCCAACAGACTCGCCAGCATCAGCCAGCAGAGAAATTGCCTTTTTCTTCCCCGAGTTCAACGAGCAGCTCTGGTACCAGCAGGAGGAGCCGTGTCTGCGGCGCGGGCGGGTGTATTACAGCGCAGAGGAGCGTGTCCACTGTGTGTCCCGGGACGAAGAGGGAGAGCTGCCCTGAGTTTCGGGCTGGGGCGCTGCGCGGGACGCGCTGCTGGGCACGCTGCTCGGGTCAGCCCTGTGACAGGACACGCGGAGCCGTGGCACGCTTTCAGGAGCGTGGGGGAGGAAGGAGCGTGGGGGAGGGGAAGGCCTGGCGCACAGTGCGCTGGCGCCGTCTGCTGTGCAGCTTACAGGCACTGGGGTGTTTTAGGAAAAACTCCCCACGTCACAGTTCTCCGGCGTGATCGGGGTCTGGCCGCGGCCCCTCGTGTGGCTGGGTGTGAGCCGTACCCCTGGGCTCCTCAGGGCTGGGTGGAAAGGGGATGCTTGTTCTGGTTAGGGTAAGGGGGGGTTTGCTGACTGTAGGCCTCATATCCTTCGTGTGTGTGCAATTCCTTCAGGGGCACGGGGCAGAATGCCGGGCAGTATTAACTCTCTGGTTCCTGCCTCCCTGATCCAAGCTGAGGACTGAGGTTGTCTTCAGTCCTGTCTTGAGTTGCATCTTGAGCACCCGGTGGAGGGCGG